CCTAAGGAGCAACGCCAACAGGAGTCGCCAACTACAGAATTTTTTCTATATACATATGCAACTTTTTCGTGTTTATCAACGCGACTTTGCGTCTGGCCAGACATTTGCTTTGATATGTAGACGTGCTTCTAAACACGATCGCGTTCATCAACACGAACCTAGAATACATTTTTTTCATCGTCTACTCTTTAGACTGTACTTACATTGCGTTGAGAACGATCTGATGCCCAGCTCTCGACAGAGAGCTGGTGGCAACACCTGCCCCGCTTAGGCGCGGCAGATTCTGATGTTGCTTTAACTGGCTCAGATCCTCTTTCTCCGCCCACCCGTGTCTCATTCTTCTCCGCCCTCGAGTGCCGAAGCGTTTTTTGGGGGCGCACCGAGGGGGCACCAAAGCGTGCTCGGCGAAGAAATCGGGACCCTGGGTGCTCCTTCTTACCTTACTTTGCAGCTGAAGCTATATAGATTTTGCGCTCAGCTGCCTGGCAGACTTGAGGATTGAAGGAGTAAAAGGGTGACGGATTCTTTTCCTTTGTTCCCGAGTCCTACCCTCACGGGCGGGTATCGGGACGGGGTGTGTGAATAGAACCCGTGTAATACCCTCATATATACTTTTTATCCTCACCTATCCTGCGCCTGGCCGTTTGGGCTCAGGTATTGGGACAGATCGATAAGACCTTTGATCGTGCAGGAGGGAAAGACATCCATCTATCCCTCCTTCCCTCTACCAACGGATCAGGGGTTCTGTACCCTTGTACTTCAACCCCATTCACAATTTCGCCACGTGCGCTCGATTCTCGATCCTGTCCGACGACGGCACCGCCTTGCCGACGACGCCGCCAGCGACGCCAGCGACGCAAACGACGACGCCATGGGTCCCGCGTCGGCGTCTGAATTCAGGGGCCGCCTCGTGTTCGTGGGATCGTTTTCGGGGCCTGCCTTCACGCGCCCTTGCCTTGCCTCACCCTCTACGCAGAGGTTCTCACCGCACCATCACCGTGCCTGGCAAGGGCCACCATGTCCCGTATGATGGCGTGCAGGCCCTCCTCGCTTCCTGCCGGGAGGGCGGATGCACCACGCCTTGGCCCAATGTGGCCCTTTTCACACGTGGCGGTGGTGTCCAGGTGCCTTCCGCGTATCTTCCTGTTCCTTCTCACGCCCCCGCCCTCCTCTGTCCTCCGTCGTCCTTCCGCGCTCACCAACGGGGAGGGGGGAAAATACAAGAACAGGAACAGACTATCCCACGCAATGGTTGGGAAGGGGGGAGGGTGAGGAGGCAGAGGCGGAGGGAGGATAATGATGACTTGGACGAGGAGGAGGCGGAGGAGGCGCAGGAGCAGCCGCGTTCTCCTCCCTCCCTCGAGCTCCCCTCCTCCCCCGCGCCCTCGCCCCGCCCTCCTCCTCCTCCTCCTCCTCCTCCTCCTCCTCCTCCTCCTCCTCGTCCTCCTCCTCCTCCTCCTCCTCCTCCTCCTCCTCCTCCTCCTCCTCCTCCTCCTCCTCCTCTTCCTCCTCCTCATCATCATCTTCCTCCTCCTCCCTGAAGAGAAGAAAGAGAGAGCGGGCGCGAAGCGAGCAAGGGAAGAACGGGCGGGCAAGAAGCGAAGGGGCGAGGCGTGTCGGCTGAAAGTCCCGCATATATTATCATGAATTATATACAATGCGAGGCCCCCGCCACAGCGAGGGGTCCCTCCATGGATTTGAATTTTAATTGAATTCGTAGGCTCTGACCGGGCACGTTTCGGCCACCCGCGGGTCGGATATTCCGGCCGCCAAGAGGGAGGAGGGGAAGAGAAAAGGGGGGGACGACGGCCCAGAGAGAGAAAGGGAGGGCGGGCAGGGGCCCGGGGGACACGGGGGGAGACGGGGGTCGGGCGTCAGCGTCGGCGGTCGTGGCCCACTGGCGGGCCGTCGTTGCCGCCAGGGCTCGGTGTCGTCGGTGGCTGTCGTCGGTGGCTGTCGTGGTGTCGGCAATCGGTACTCCTCCGCGGCGGCGCTGTTGCTGCTGTACCTGGTGGTACTTGTAGTGGTCCTCGTGGTGGCGGTCGCTGTGGTGCTGCTCATGGCGGTGGCGCCGCTGCGCGGGCGCGCCTCCTCCTCCATCCCTTCTCCTTATAGATGTCGTCGTCGTCGTTATCCTCCTCCACCTCGGCGCTCTCTCGCTGTCGCTCCCCGCCGCCCTGCTCAGCGCCCACCACCGACGGCCGCGGGCCGGTGGGCGGCCAGGATCTGCTCGGCCACCCCTGTTTGCAGGGTGGCCGAGAGTTCCTGCCAGAACGCCGCAGCATCTGCGCTGGCGCCGGCTTCGCCGTTTCGGCGGTCCAGCCTGTCCAAGACCAGCTGCCTGGCAGCCTCGCCCAGGCGGCCTCCTGTCTCCACCGCAAAGGGCGTCAGCAGAGGCGTGGTGGGCCCTGGTGGGTACCGCAGCTGCTTGCCGCGCGCCGCGTCCTCGGCCGCTAGGCCCGCGTGGGCCGCCCTGGCCCGCTCCTCGCGCGGGTCGGTGGAGTCAGGGCTCGTGACCACCACGTCCACGACGTGCCACGTGCCCTTTTCGCACCATTTGACGTCCAGCACCGCCAACTCCATGCG